CCTTCCCCGCTACACCTGGCTAGGGGTCGCATACCACCTGCCAGGTGCTAAAATACCACCGGTGGTACAAGGTTGAAAAGCCCTGCTCTATAGCATTATATTTTCCTACTGTGACATACATGAACTCTTAAATTAAAAGGAACAAGAGAAGAAAATAAAAGATTGGATCAATATTGAAAATATGGCTGCATTCATCTTTGACTCACAAGTGTCATTTGTCAAGAAAAAGGTCAAAAGTTCAGGTTTCTTTGCCTATAAGAATTTGACATTGCAAAAACAAAAATCTACACATACATATATAATGTGGATCACTGTACTTCCATGTCATAGTTTGTACTTGCAAGTTAACATGCTATAAGATATTATGCAGTTCTTGGTGCTCTCTGAGCTTGGTTGTTTTCTTGGAGATGTTTCATTATCAAACTATGTAATATTGTCAGTGGTACCTAGTGCTACCCAGTGCTATAAAATATTAATTGGAAAGAGAGCAAATGTATAAAATAAATAGATTCCTAACAAGCGTGTTAAAAACATATAAGTATGTTTCTTAATATTAATTTTGTTTTTCTTTCCATAAAAAAGCATTCCCTACATGCAGTAAATCAAAGTATGCTTAGCAAGTCTTTAATTTATGCACAAGTATGCTAATATCAGGGATAAGTATGGCACCTGAAACTTTCTGCACATTTCTCATCTCACAATGTCATCTGTAAATAGACGACACACACACACACACACAAGTTATTTTTAAAAAGATAAGCTGAAACTCACCAAATGTTGATAATCTTAGGAGTGGGAGTTTGAGGTATATAAATATTGTTGAGCCTACCTTATATGTGATGTGCATCTAAGGTATAAATAGCCATCAGTTTGAGAGAGAATTGGAAGGCTTTTTAGAAAGATAAAATCAGTTTTCACTACTAATATATTCTTGGTTCCAGCTCAAAAAATGCTGTCACTTAAACCAAGCTCAAACTGCAGGACTTTGGTGTGTGTTTGGGGATGGGGATGTTGTGGGAGGGGAATATTTCACACTGGGTAGCAGTGATTCACTGAAGGCATTTAGCAGAGACTGATTTGACCATTTGTCAGAGTTATTTCAATTGCCTCCTATGTAGCAAAGAAAAGAACTGAACTTAGATTTCTTCCAGGGTCTTTTCCAAATCTATTATTCTAAAACAATGTCCATTTAGCTAGAAAACACTTGTAATACTCCCCACTATGGAGAAAAATGAAAGCAAGCTGTAAAGAGTATACTTAGAAACAGTCAGGAATAATCACTGAATAGAGGCAGCCCATAACTCTCAGTTCTTTGCTTTAAAGCCAATGGCGTGTTTAGCTTAGTGAAAAGTGTGGAGGAAGGCTGCGAATCCCTTTGCATAACAATGTTATCCTTCAAAGAGCTGGTCACGAGCTAATGAATATGTTTAAATGATGAGTTGAGCAGAAATAGTGCTATTCAGATTTTATTTTACCAGGAAGCACAGTCACTCCTAGGATTAACAATGGCACAAAAGTAAGCTGTATGCACTTTCTGTCTTTGGACCACATAAGGACTAACTATTAAAGCTGGTCTATTATGAAGACAGAGGTAAGGCACAGAATCCATGAAAAGACTATGTTCTGTGAAAAGAGATGAAGAATCAAGAAGAATAGAATAGAGCTGGAAGGGACCTTGGAGGCCTTCTAGTCCAGCCCTCTGCTCAAGTAGGAGAACCTACTATCTCAGACAAGTGACTTTCTAGCCCAGACATGTCAAACACAAGGCCCGCAGGCCGGCTACAGCCCGCCAAGGGCCCAAATTTGGCCCCAGGAGCTGTTCCAGAAATGGCAAGGGACCAGCCCCCACTGCCCCAGCCCTGGCCCACCCCAACCCGGCTGGGTGCCCTCCCAGTGCATGCACAGGAAACGGTGAGTGCTCGGAGGCTGGTGGTGCACAGGAGTAGCTGTAGCTCATTTGCTTCACCCCATCTCACCCCTCCCGGCCTTGCCCCACCCCTCCCGGCCTCACCCGTCACACCCAGCCATGCCCTGCTTTACTGGGCCTCTCCTCATCCGGCTCTGTTTTGCCGGGCCTCGCCTCACCACGCCCGGCTCTACTTTGCTGGGTCAGGCACCAAAGCACCACTGAAAACAGTGGAGTCTGTGTGTGTGCCCGCCTTGCCCACATCAGCCATGCTCTCCACGGTGCACTACAGCTGATCTGAGGTGTGGAGAGCATGGCTGATGGGTGAGCTTGTAGCAGGCGCACACACAGAGTCCACTCTTTTTGGCGGCCCTTCTTGCCACTGGGGCTGCTGCTTGCCTTCCTCTGCACTAGTGCCTCCATGCCCTGCTCACTGGCCTGGTCTCACAGCCTGCAAGGCTTCCCTTTCACCAGGATCGCCCGCCCTCGAGTGGGAAAGACACGGCCGGTGGCAGCATGGCCACCAGCAACGTTGCCAATCTCTCCCCCTCCCCTCACCCCTTCCTGAGCATGGAGGAGACAGAATGGGACCATTAGGCCATGGGGTTTCTGCCTGCCAGTGTGCAATAGGAGATCGCAGGGGCTGTCGGGGAGACGGCAGGTGA